GGCTGAACCTTGAGGTGCTCGAGTAAACAGGAACCCATTTTTGGATCTGAATTCTTGAATTATGAGATTTGGGTTTTTGGAATTAGAGTGGGGAAGAGAGGAGGGAGTGGCGTGAGGAAGAAGGGCATAGCAGGGAGTGAATGGTGGGATTAAATTTATAAAAGCTTCTGAAATTGGTAGAGAAGAAATGTTGGATGAAGTAGATGAGCGGATAACCATCCCAATGTATAGTTTACCAAACACTATAATACTTTTTTTTTTCTTTTTTCAAAAGCATTTTATAAAAAAAGTTTACCAAACACTCTGTTACTTTATTTCACAACTGCTTATTCTTACAGCATAGCCGAAATAGTTTTTTTTTCTTCAAAGCACTGCAATACCAAACCAACCCATAAAACATGAAGGGTTAAATCGTTGATATACGATGTGGAGTAAGCCTTCACAAGTCATTTTGCTCTTTTTTTATGCAACCATGAAGCCCAACTTTTTATTTGGTTGTTCATGTTTTTTACCTTCTCAAGTTATTAAATTAAGTCCTCGAAGAAGGATGCTGCTTGAAATAGTTGATGCAACCCAAACAGAATAAAAAAAAACCTTCATCTTAATCCCTCTTCAATTGGTTGTCGGTAAGTAAAAAGGTTAACATAACAGCTTCCCTTAATCAATCAAACTCAGGTTCACCACATTGCGGTATGATAAACAGCAAAATGAAGCTAGTTGGAGTTTGAAGTGGCCAAACGAATACGGAATACGCGATGTTGATTATGTGTAGAGTGTGGGGTGTATGTAGAAAGTGTGAGCATAATATGAGAAAATATTTAGAGTGTATTAAGATAGTTAATTAAAAAACAAATAGACGTGAGGTGTATTCAATGTATAAGTTTGTTCAACAATATGTGGGACCTAAATAAAACAACTCTATACATATGCATGGAGGTTTAAAACTCCCCCATCTTCTAAATTATTGTGATAGTTTCGAACTCTTCCTCTCTCTCCCTAATCATAGAAAAATTAAAACACAAAAACCCTATCTATATATGCTTAACAAGAGAGGAGTAGCATCCGGACTACTTAATTAACAATATAACATGACAGACGGCCACCGGAAGCAAGTGGTTCCTATTAATAACGGGACTCGTATTGACAGCAACGACATCGTCATTGAGATACTGTCAAGGCTACCATGGAACTCTTTACGACGATGTCGTTGTGTATGCAAGTCATGGCGTACTTTAATCTCTGATCCTGATTTTATCAGAATCCATGCAGTCAGAGGACTCAACAACGACTTGAAGCTCCTAAGGTTTGATATGTGGGGTAATCCCATGTCCATAGACTACGAATCATTTTCGTCGTTATTGGCACAGGCATGGAAATATTAGTGGTGAAGTTGTTCCACGCTGCAGACATAACAAATTACGAAGACGATTTTGCAGGTAGGTTATTGGTTCTTGCAAATCCCCATCTGTCTAGAGCGCCTTTGCAGTGTGAGTCTTTCGTTTCCTCTTTGTTTAATTATAAAAGAATGTAATTTTTCTTTTGAAACATCATATTAATTGTTGGGTGTGCAAGGTTGAACGGTTGAAATTACCTAATTAGTGAATGCAGATGTCCCAGAAATATTTTCAAGAGTTTGTATTTGTGAGGTACGCTTAATTTAAGGAGTTTAAGAAACCTAATTAAAATATAAACCTCAGAAAATAATTATCACAAATGAAACTTGCATTTGTGCAACATTTGACCAAGTAAACATTATATGCTGTTGTTATCACTAGCTTCTTGTTGGGATACAGCATCTTCCAATGCATATTATTCGCTTTCTATTTCTGCTTTTTTCTTTCCCTGGAGCGTTATAGACAAACCAAGAACGATCAAGAAAGCTCCTAAACCACTGAAAATGTTCGAAAGTTTTAATTATATTAAATTGATCCTGCAATAAATGAATTCATTGGGAGCTTTAATGAAAAGTTATTAAGATTAAAACAAAAATACTTAATAGAAAATTATTAATATTAAGGGAAACAAAAAGGCGATGACATTCTTATAAGATTAATGCTAAGAAGATTAAATTTTTTAAATCAAATTTGCAAACCAATGATGTGATTGTTGGTGATTGGATTACTACTTAAGTATTGATTAACGTGCTTATTTCCTATTGGTGATGCATCATTTGATTTCCAAATTTGATGTAAACATTTGGTAATTCTAGCATTACACTTCTTGCAAATAAGTTAGTTTAGTGGTATTATAGTAAATAATTATAGTAAATAAGTTGAAGTTCAAAATCAAAAAAAAAAAAGAGGCAGACAGTGGTATTTTCATAAATAAATTGAAGTTTAGAAGGCGGTCACATTTTCTTAAGTTGAACTTTGGTGCCGACTGTTGATATACATTTGTGTCTTTATTTTTAATAAATTTCCATTAAGTGTTTTTTGTCATAAAAAAAGGTTTGTGCGACTCTTTTCATTAGTTTTGTAAAGATTCTAAATGCATGAAGCGAAATGCCAAAAATACACAGATACTAAATGCAGGGGCTGAGTATCCATTAAATTGACCATCATGCCTCAATGTTAGTTTAACAATCTAAACAAGGGAACAAAAAATACCTTCCCAAATATATATCTCTCCTAAAACGAGTAGTCCTATAGAACAGCTGCAACAATTGTAGACAGTAGTCGAAATGCTGTCATGAAAACTGGCCCTCTCGTTCTTACTAGCACAGTTTGCACATAAATTACAAGTCCCAAAGTCACAACTCCCTACAAAACAATTTCACCTCATCAAATTTTCCATGACCTGTGCAAGAAAAACATTACACATTTAAAATTTTTACACTGTACACAGGAGCAAGAAGTGTAATGTTCCATGACAACTTCCAAGAGGATGCTTTGTGATCAAGAATCGCTGCCATGATTCCCGTGAGTAAATTCCCCGATAAGCATGCGAATAATGTAAGAGCGATCGGTGCTGGATACATTTCAACTGTTACGGTCTGCATAAATCATATTGCATAATATGAGTATTAATTGTAATAATTTCCATGCAACAAAACGTTGTTCATATAAGATGCAGGTTTTTCTGGCACCTGTGAGATGTAGAATGTTAACAATGCAAAATTTGATACAAGAAGGACAAGAAAGCCCCTTAACCAGTTTCTGTCCGTGGATGATTTTGAGGTAGCTGCAGTTTGATGGAGCCTTCGGTGTGCATTAAAATCACAGCAATGCGCTTGTATAGGATCATTAGCGTTGCGCTAGGAAACCCGACAAGGGTCCCCCCAGTCTTTTCTTGCATACCAAGCTTCATCATATCGAATTTCCTTAGTACATCATAATGTAAATCCGTAAAACCCCAATGCAGTAGTCAAATATATGACTTCTATATTATTAAATGGATTTCCTTCACCTGCAGAAAACTACTATGATGAAGTAATACATGGAATAAGGTTGGTCATGGCAGTTGCAAAAGCCAGTGAAGTGTATTCAAGTCCCAAGTCATTCAATGTTCTTCCTAACAGTCCTCTAACATGAACACGAAAATTTAGAGGATTAATCGAAATTAGATTACTTGTTCCGAGACTAGCAAGTCTCTCACCCAAGGAAGCTCAAGAAGAAGACATTTCGCAAGACTGGAACACCGATTTTGTTCTCGTTTTTTTTTTCTGCCAAGAGATAGGTTAATTAGAGGACGTATGGTTTTGGCTTTTCAATTTTTCTCTCCCACTTAATGCTTCGATGATCCAAACGAGTCCTAATTTATTAACCAAATAATCACATTAATCAAATGATATTTAAGGTCGTATTCGTTTTAATTTAATATTTGTTCATCAATACATAAAATATTCGAACTTAAGATACCTTTTAATATCGAAAAATAAAATACAATTGATATATTCTTTGTAAAATGTTTCTAGCTCGAATTCGTTGTCCTTAAGGGGACGTTTGTTGTACCGGACTGTCTCAGACTAGATTAGCTACAGGGACTAAGCTGGACTGGCTTAACTAGACTAAGCTAGACTAACTTAGTGAAGCGTTTGATGCAGTGTCGGATTAACAAGTAGGATAATGAAAATAATACTATAGTTTATTGTCGAAATTAATTTATTATTAATTTCTTCACATAATCTCTCTCTCAGCTTCCCTTCTCGATCTCGAGTCCACCAGCAAGCTGCTCCACTACCCTCATTAACTTCACAATTTCACCATCTCTCTACTCATAGCCCTCTCAATCTCAAACTTTATCTCACATCATTTGCTCCATCTGGGTCAGAACAAAAGCACCACAAACACTCTTCTCTAACTCTAACCCAACATTTTCTTTGCTCTACTCACTCAATTCGCTCACAAGTGGCTCAATCTCCACGGCGGAACCGACTCAACTCGGACTCCAAATCTGCCTTGCCCTGCACCAGCGACTCCACCTGCTGCTGGCGGTCCTTGGTTTCCTTGAGCAGCAGAGAATTCAACGACTTGAGGTTTTGGAGCTTCTCAGATGGCTCGTCCATGGCGGTGGTGGCGACAGGAAATATGGGATTGGGGATTTTTTGCGGGTGATGGTTGGTGGTGGGAAATATGAGATGGGGGATTTTTTTGTGGTTGACGTTGGTGGTGGGAAATATGAGATTCGAGATTTTAGAGGATGATGACCATGGCGAAGCGAAGCTGCTTGCTAAGGATAGTCTGCAGATCTTAATTAAATCCCATCGAAATCCAAAATTAAGAAGCCCATAACTCATAGAGGGGCTCGTAGGGAGGAGGAAGAAGCTGGTCTTAGCAAGTCCCATGGTTTGGGGAGGGCCTCACTAAGAACCTTTAAGGAGGCCTCTAGTCCACACGAGTCCCCTTTAGTCCCACTTAACTTAGTCCTAGCACCTATCAAACATGAAACTGTAATCCAGTCTAGTCCCATTTAATGAGGCCAAACAACGCATCCTAAATTAGTTAAAAAACAATAAAAAGAATTTATATTCAGTCCATGGTTGTTAAACCCTTTTCTAAAACCCTCCAATTTTAATTTGGAGAAAAACCTCGAAACTTGACTCTCTCTCTCTCTCCGTTCCTGATTGAAGCAAAGCAGTAAACATGAGCGCCCACCTGTCTCTCCGCCACCGCTCTTTCGCATACCTCACTCGCTACCCCTCCTCCTCACCCTTCTCCACCGCCGCCGCCACCTCCAAAATCCCCACCCTTTACGAACCCACTGCCGCCGCCACCACCCAAGATGACGACGCCCCCACCACAACCCTCCAACTCCTCTCATGGGGCAGAGGCGCCTCCGGCCAGCTCGGCGGCGGCATCGAAGAAATCCGACTCTACCCAACCCCAGTCGCCAAAGTCGTCGTTCCCACCTCATCCTTCACTCTTTCACCATCCCAGGGCCGAATTCAAACCCCCAATTGCTCGAATCAAGAAAGCAATGCCGGCCGCCGCATTGTACAGGTCGGTATTTCTTGTGGATTGTTCCACTCTTCGCTATTGGTGGATGGTAAGCTTTGGATTTGGGGTAAAGGCGACGGCGGTCAACTTGGTTTTGGACATGAGAATTCTCTGTTTCTGCCCACTTTGAACCCGAATTTGGATTCGGTTCGCTTTGTGGCGCTTGGCGGGTTGCATTCGGTGGCGCTCACCACCACTGGCGAACTCTATACTTGGTCAGTACAATAGTAAAGATTAGACATTTCTAGCATTTTATCACAGGATGCATTGCATTGCATTTTGTTGATTGCAATTCAATTCAGTTTTCTTTTGTTGTTTGCAATCTGCCAAAATATTGACTGCTTTGATCTTACTGAAAGAGAAAGTATTGTATCGAATTCACGGTTTACCTGTATAGAACATATTGTGGCAATGAGCAGAGTCAGCCCGTAACTTGTAAAGTTTACATCTTCGCAAGAGTAATCATTTCTAGTCTCAAGACTCTCAACTATTCGCAGTTAAATTTTTTTTTTGTTTTTCAGTGAAATTGCCCAATTACATTTGCCTGTTACGAGTTGAAAGACCGATTTACTATTGAGTTATTCATACATTGATAGAATTATATTGTTTTCGCGTCTACTGCATATCTTTTATGTTCATTGACCATATTGCTATAACAACTCATGCTTCTCGTCGGATAACTTCATGGTTGTCATTAAACATGAAGCGTGCAGGGGTTATGGTGGTTTTGGTGCTCTTGGACATTCTGTTTATACTAGAGAGTTGTTCCCTAGATTGGTAGAAGGATCATGGAGTGGGAAAATATGTCATATTTCAACTAGTGGGACGCATACTGGTGCCATCACGGAATCAGGTTTGTTAACAGTCATTTTTATTGGAGTAAATCTGGTACTGCCTGGATGCAACAAATTGATTGACTCCAACTGATAATCATAGGAAGAATTTAAACTAGTATGTTGCAGATGGCATGCTTTTCAGTTTCTCACTCCTTTCTGGCTTTCTGCATTTGTCTTCCAGTATAAAGATTATGTTTATAGGTTTGATTTGTCGTTGTAGATAATAGGCTACTAATTTGGTGTAGCTTGTAGGAGAACTTTATACTTGGGGTCGAGATGAAGGGGATGGTAGATTGGGACTTGGTCCTAATCGAGGCCCAAATGAGGGTGGTGGACTTAGCATACCGTCCAAAGTAAAAGCATTACCTATGCCAGTGGCTGCCGTTTCTTGCGGAGGGTTTTTCACAATGGCACTGATGGAAGATGGGGAACTTTGGAATTGGGGAGGTAAGATCATCACCCTTATGTGGAAAGTGTTTTGCTTTCTTTTTTTTATACATCTGAATTGATTTTATTTACTATAACCTAACCACATACTGTCCATGATTCCATGCCAAGTAAGTGGTATAAAATTATTATTAGGAAATGGTGTTATTCTTTCAAATGTTTTATAAGACATTGGATTCATTAGTCAACGAATTAGTGGAAATGAATTTCAACCTGCAGATTTGATAAAAATGGAGAAAATATAGCCATAAGGGGATAACAAGAAGTTGGATTTTGTTTATTTTAGCAATCCTGAGGTCATTGGAACTCCTGTCATGGTTACCATTGCTGTTACTCTTCTATAAGGGGATTGGCTAATTGGTTCTTGATATTATTGCCATCTTTGAGACTTTGACTGACTTTTAGCTGCTCCACTAGTATGAAGCTAATATGTTGTGTTTTCTGGGGGTTTCCTCAGCAAACTCTAACTATGAGCTTGGAAGGGGCGATAAGGTTGGTGGTTGGACACCAAAACCAGTTCCTAGTCTTGTAAGCGTTCGTATCATTCAGATAGAAAGTGGTGGATATCATTCTCTTGCGTTAACCGGTAACGTGATTGCATCAGCAACTATTATTGCCTTTATTTCTGGAATGATTAAGTCTTATTAATGACCCTTCTTTCTTGATGTTTAATTTTCAGATGAAGGTAAAGTACTTTCTTGGGGACATGGTGGGCATGGTCAGTTGGGCAACTCTTCTTTACAAAGTCAGAAAACACCCACAGTTGTTAAGGCTTTAACTGATGAGCGTGTTATCTATATTGCTTGCGGGGGTTCATCTTCAGCAGCTATAACAGGTAATGATTCGTGCTTTATTTGGTACTGTAATCAATTAGGTCTTAGAAATATTTTCTTTTGGCACTCAAATGTGTAAATTGCTTGCATCCTCTATTTTTACATTCCACTGGGGCATTTATCATGAGTCATAAATATGCTCTTGTAGCGACACAGGTTTTTCTTTAAAGGTTTGTTCCTACCGTAGATTATTGTTTTTAGGAAACAATTCAAGACTTACAGGTGGTTTGAGGGAGCATTGCAAATTCATAGTTTCATAAATCAGAACATGGATGGGCAGATGTTTTGGTTTTTTGGTTCAAACTAGTAAGCGTGATACTTTCGTACATTCCTACTGAGTGCCCATCCTTTGTTTCGTGCCAGATAAAGGAAAGTTGTATATGTGGGGATATACCAAAGATTCTCAGTTAGGCGTACCTGGGTTGCCAGAGATCCAACCATCCCCCGTTGAAGTCAAGTTTTTAATGGAGGAGGATGGATTGGGAGCCCACAATGTGCTGTCTGTTGCAGTTGGTGCTTCCCATGCCATGTGCTTGGTTTCAAGGTCTGTTTGTAAAATTTCACGGTAATAGTTTCTATTGTTATCCTTCTCTGTAACGTAGATAGATTTTTGTTACAGGGATGAATTGTCCAACTGAGCTCAAATGGGGGAGAAACCGAAAATCTGTGGTTCTGAAGTGAAACTGATTCGAGATTATAAATCGCATGCTAGAGAGATGACGATGTCTTGTGAAGAGATATTGAGAGATACAAGAAACACTATGCATGAGAGATACAAGAAACACTATGCACGAAATAAAATGTGACCACTTGGGTGCAATAAATCGCTGCCCTTCCTTCTTCTGTTGCAAGTACTACGTCGACTGTGTGCTCCAACTCAGCTTGCTAAAAAAACGCATTGAACCCTCCTCCCAAATGCAATTGGTTCAGAGATGTGTAACCGTGTTGCAAGGATACCGACATTGACAGAACTCAGTTATTGAAAACACATGAGATTTTCTCAGGTTCCTTAAATTATTGGCAGAGGTAGTAGATATCTTGTTGTGCATTCTTGTAACGTATGGTTCTTCTTTGTTGTGCCAGTTGCTACTTGCTAGACTGCCCCAGCCCAGCCCAGGGCTGGCACTCTGGCCCAAACTACCCTACAATTTTTCGTCGGCTATTAAGAGATGGTGCGGCAAATTATCTTCATGAATTCCTTTCTAATCTAACTGGAGGTACATTATTTTCATGATTTCTTTACTAATAGCTTTCGAGTTACTCTTGCTTATTTTATTCATCTTCAATGTTCGCTTGAGGAGAGATTTTGCCTTATCACCGCGATATGTCTCCATGTAAGTAGGTCATGATCACATGAAATGCTCACAGCGAGATCAATGGTGTCAATTGGTACCCTTTAAGGCTGGTATGACAAGTATCCTGGTACAAGGAGTCAACTTACATGAAACAAGTTCACTATCATACAATGTCCTAATCTAACAGTGCAATGACATGTGAAAAGAAATGTACACATGACGTTATATTGTTGAATCTAGACGTCACGATAGAGACAAGGATGGAGGCAACTAAATACTGGCTTGGTACGGAGGTGTTTTTATAAAAAATGGGAATAAAAAAAAAGTTGAGCTCAAAAAGGTATTTAGTAAACATTTAAAAATAACTTATTTTCACAATTTTGGGTGAAAAAAGCTGAAAATGTGAAGCAACAAAAATGAGTTTATTCTCACAGCACAGTAGGAGCAGTTTTTTTTTTTTTTTTTTCTTTCTTTTCCAAAGCACAACAATACCAAACCAGCCCTAAGGTCCGCTGGGGGCAGTTACCTCTACTAAATTTTTGTGTATAGAAAAACATCAAGATGCTTACAGAACTTGAATTTATCATATTTAAGTACTTTAATTAATTAGTTGTCAAAGTTGAATTTGAACCATATTATTGCTAGACTAAGCCAACTTCCCTCCCCCTTAATGTAAATAATATCGTTTGTTAAAATATATATATATATATATAATTAGTTGAAAATTTTAAATAATATATACAATGCTATTATTGTGAAAAAATGTCTTCAATTGGCTTAATGAAATTAATTTGAGAAGAAAAGAAAAGCAATGAAGTTATAGAAGAAATTCTACCATCATGAATTTTTTTCCTTCTCAAGTCTGGAGATTAAGGTCGCTTCCGGTAAAGAAAGTTTCTAACTCCGTCCCTAGGTAGAGCTGAACTTGTTCTGTGTAAGGCATCTGTAATTTTCACAGCTTTCATGGTCTTTGCCATGAAAATTTGAAAACAACTACTTGGTGTGTTTTTGGAATATTATTTTCAAGAAACATTATTTGGGTATGAAATGGACCCAATGGCTTCTGAACATCATCGTACACTCACTTGGCTTGCTATCATCTGTTGATGTTGATGAGGCTGCACTTGCCGCGGTTGTTTTGTAACTTTCGCGACGGATAGAGAAGCACGTCATTTTCTTTTTTGGAGTTTTGCCCAGCAGAGAGATATCTCAAGGCCCTGTCACCACCACCACTGTGAAAGCAGAGTACTCCGATTATGACCTATCTTTCTTGTGGCCTTGGACCAATTGAGTAGATTTTTTAACTTGTGGGAAAAGGCTAGCAATACTCGTATTCATCCGTCAACACGTGTGGGCCCCATAGTAGTATTCATGCTCGTCAATGGAAGAAAATGAATAAGTCCCACGCGCGACTATAACATTAGCATCATTGTTAACTTGTAGTACTGGTGAGGAAACACTGTTAACGGGTGGATGATCAGAACTCTTAACAAGAAAATCAATTTCCAATGTACATAGCTCACTTTGGTTAGGTTGTCTTACTGAAAATTTTCTCCTAATACGAGTATAAGATTCTTGACTATATGACTCAAAAGAAGTTGAGGTATAGGGTAAGTAAGTGGCCAAGGGGAATTTGCCAAAGTTGCATGCAAACTTCATCCTTACCGAGGAAAAAAAATCCTGAATCCGTCACTAACCTAACAAATAAGATCGTTGGCGCACGTCATCGAGTAGTGAATATTATATTGGCTTTTGCATTGGACCTCTAGCCTGTAGATGTTTCTTGAGGTAAACTCCATTTCATTTTACGCATTGTTTGCTGTATAACTACTCATCTCCGCAGGGCCACAGTCAAAGGAGACAAAGCATGAAATGAAAACATGCATGCATGCATATGTGGACCACCAACCAAGCTGCTGCATGCCGATCGAGATCCGTTTGGTGCGTGACAAACTTCAATTATGCACTTAGTTTGGCTCCATTTTCTTCACGCCTTTCACGACAAACATTTACGGAAAATATTATTAGCCCCTCGATATTTTTATCTGAGGTATTTGTCGATTCTTCTTTAAAACTTATGAGGAGTTGTTAATTTCTTTTATGAACATTAATTTTAACCGATTATACCTCCTTAAATTTTTATAGTTATTCAATTTTTCTCCTCCGTTAGATGTAAGAATTTTTACCCAATTTTCTATCCATTTTGGTCATATAGCAACTGTTGACGGGAATAAAATAATTTTATTCTAATATTCTTTGTTTGAATTAGCCAAGGGAGGCTAATTAGCAACGATAAAGTATTGGCTTTGCGCACAATTCACCAAAGCACAATTATCTTTTTGCCCTCCTATAATTATCATGTGTTGTTTGCGGGATCAAGATGGATGGAAACTTGGATGAACGCATAAGGAAAATTAGCTATTTATTAACGTTTAGAGAGGTAATTGGCTAAAATTTAAGTTTAGAGAGAGAAATTGATTGCTCTATACTAGTTCCGAAGGCAAATCAACTATTTATATTTTCTCCATGCTTGCATGATTTCAAATTTAAAACGGAAAAGATAATGATTCCTTATGTGTTTAATTTGTCACAATAATCTTGAAAAATACATGGCAGCTAGTAAAAAACATTTGCCAAGTAACGTCTCATCGTGGATCGGTTGTCGGCTCTAGATATATCATATAACAAAAACAAATAAAGTAAAATATAAGTGGGGGCTATATTTGCTTTTATGTTTTGTATTCCATCGATATTGAGTGAGAAATTGTATTTGAAATATTTTTTAATTAACGTTGAGATAATAAATATTAACGTACTAAAATGTGATACTTGATGTGTTAACTAATTACCAATTATAGTAGATGCAAATAATTAGCGAACTTATGAGTATCTTGTAAATTGTTCGCAAAATGTAACTACAGATGCGTTATATTATTCAATCGAAATATTTGGGTTTATATGATAGGCTAATTATACGGTACTCGATATGTATACAAAATAAAAATATATCAATCAATTTTAAATTTAATCTCATGAACGATGATTAATGAGTAAAACCAACATAACATTTTCTTTTTACTATTAACACGTATATATGTCATGGGAAACTTCCTTACACGTTAACACAAACAAATATGAACACAAAATCAAAACAAACGTGGAAAATACAAATATAAACTTCCCTAATTGGCTAATTGTATAGTGGCTTAATCATCATTGTACCCAAGTTAGCCGTAGTTAAACACCGAGCACTGCGACGCCGGCCTCGACAGCTCCGTTCCCGCGCTGGCCGGGCACGCCGCCAACCCCACGGGCGGCACCATGCAGTTGTAGCTCAAGCACAACGACACTGTATCGGGGAACCTCGACCCGGGCTCGACCGGGAACCGGGAAATGTAATTGTGCTGCAGGTACAACGTTCTGGTGGTCCCTACGTACACGCTCTTAACGTACTCCCTCGGCACCGTCCCGATCAGACGGTTGTTATTCAAATACAAGCTCTCCACACCCGCCAAGATCGGCGACAGCTCACCCGTTATGGCATTGTGGCTCAAATCCACGATCGAACCCTCACCGTACGATGGGGGCTGGGACCCTGCCTGCGGGACCCACCCGGAGAAATTGTTCCGTTGCAACAGGAGGGACTGGAGGGTCGTGCGGAACAGAGTTTGCGGGAGGGGCCCACTGAAACTGTTGGACCCGAGATTGAGGTGGACTAAATCGGCGAGCGAGTCGAAGACGGAGCTGATGGGGCCCGACATGTCGTTTTCCGAGAGCGACACGTAACGGAGCGTCGTCGGGAGAGAGGGTGGTAACGGGCCGGTGAGGCCGTTGCGGTTGAAGTCCAAGTGAAGTAGCTGGGACGACACGTTGTAGGGGACCTCGCCGGAGAGGGAATTGGAGGCGAGGATCAGGACCTTGAGGTTGGGTAACTGGGTCAGACCCGGCGGGATAGGGCCCGCGAGGCTGTTGTAGCTGAGGTCGAGGGTGTGGAGATTGGGGAGGAGAGAGAGGGACTGAGGAATCCGGCCAGTGAGACGGTTGTTGGTTAGGGAGATGACACGGAGGCTGGCGAGCCAACCGATCTGAAACGGGATCGGACCGGTGACGATTCCGGGGAAGAGGATGAGCTGAGTTAACTCGGTGAGGTCGGCGATGGAGGTCGGGAGCGACCCGGCAAGACCGGGGGAGTCGGAGAGGCCAGTGCCGAGGGTGAGGGTAGTGACTCGGCCGGAAGAGCAGGTGAGGCCGGAGAAGGTGGAGCAGGGGTCGAGGGCGGAGAAGTCCCAGGTGGAGAAGAATGCGGTGGGGGAGCCACGGCGGGAAGGGACGTCGGTGAGGGAGTTTTTGATTGCGATGAGGGCGCGGAGATCAACGGGGGAGAGTTTCTGGGTTCGTTGGAGGGAGGGAGTGAGGAGGAGTGAGAGGAGGAGGAGGAGGAGTGAGAGTGGGAGTGGGGAATGAGAGTGTGGTTTGGCCATGAGCGACCAGAATAAAACGACGAGGGTCAAAGTTTTTGCAGGTTCATGGAATATATGGTGGGAGTGTGAGGATGATATAATATAGCCGTTAGTTGGAGTTAATGGCGTTATGGCCCAACCCTAAATTTATTTGGGTCACCTTCTTGCCTTATTATTGGAGCGCAAGTTCTTTTTGAAATATGTAAATTACCTTAATTACTCACTACATTGATTGTTGGGTAAATTATACTTTATTACATTAGGTTTGTGGTCTATTATAATCTCATACAATATCTTTAAACATTTTACTTTCTTACCTTAAGTACTATTTGATTTCAATATAATACATCCGTTACATTTTCCATCAATTAATCTGTTAAAAGCTGACGTGGCTGCCAAATTTGTGCCACGTAGTAATTTTTTTTATTCATTTAAAATATTATAATAATTTACCCAATTAGAAGAAAAAAAAAACTTGAAACCCAGAAGCCCCACACCACTAGAACTCGCCGAATCAATCTCCTAAAAGCTCACAATCTACGCCTACTACCTCCGATTCCGAGTTGTGTGTCACAGTTGGTGAGCCTCCGTCCCCAAAACCCCTCACCACCTCCTTCCCCAGCTCCCCTAGCTGATGCTCCCCCAATCCTAGCCCAACCAATCCCATCGCGCCTTCTTCAACCTCTCCAACAGCAAAGTCCACTTCCTCCACCTTCTAGAAGCTTCTCACCGCAAGCGCCATTGCGGCTCCTCCCACGGATGGCTCGTCATCCTTGACAAAACACCTTCCGTCCTCCTCGTTAAACCCCTCACGCACGCCAAGTGCCACCTTCCCCAACGTTGTTCGATTCAATTCGATTACTTCGATTTGGAGCTAGGGATTAAAGAGATAGAGGGAGTGTCTGATTTGGGGGTAGGCTTGGGTGGGGAGAAGGGGTGTCTGATTTTGGTTGGGGGGTGTGCTCGGGTGGGGAAGACGAACTGGATTTTGGGGTTTTTTTTTTTTTTTTTTTACCACGTGACATAAATGTGGCAGCCACGTCAGTACAAATATGGACCCTTTATTTGCCACGTCATCACTTAATGGTTTGCTTAACAAATTTTCTAACGGATGTATAAAATTGAAATAAAATGATAAGTAAATGTATGAAATTGAAATGTTTTAAAGATATCATAAGGAATTGAAATCGACCCCAAACCTTAGGGGGTAAAATGTAATTTACCCTTGATTGTTACTAAATATATTTTTCACATATATATAGGACCTGACTAGTTGGAATAAGATACATCATACATGTAGAATTGTACATTATCTAGCTCCATGACATATTACACGCATAAGAACGTTTTATAGGCAGATGCGAAGATAGTCACATTAGTTAGAGCCGGTAGTTTTAGATATTGAGATAGTTATATTGGTTAGAGTAGATATTCTCTCACTATGCAGAATTCGAGTTCAAATCTCCTTGCGTCAGCTTGTTATTTGTATGCCATACTCTTCGTAAAGAAGAGTCACTCAATCACAAATTATTTAAATATTAGATGAGTGATAGTCCATGAATATTTCCCAAAATACTTATAAAGACATATAAATTATATCGTCCTCCTGTATTATAATTCGTGAAGAAATACCCTATAATGGTGTTCCATTAGTTGGGGGTGGTACCTAATTTTGCAACTCGAAATGCATGAATTATTTCCTCTATAGGATAACTTTTCAGTAGTTAGGGATTGGAGGAGGGTGGTTATTAGTTGAACTAAAGTATTAGTACTTTAAACTGGCCTTCGTCAAACTTCTAATTATCAGTGGTGGCGTGGGTGTCAACCTTTTTGCATCACTTAAACAAATAAAGGTGTATGCAATTAAGACTTCTCCATCTGACTATGATGTTTTAATATATATTTTTTAAGTTTTAGAGCAGATGCATAAGCACACATGCTAGTTTAATTCATCTTGTTTGGAAGAATTAGTTGTTCTTCCAAGATCTTTTCAAACCCAACCATTCATTTCATCTCATGCATATTGCATTGTGATTGAGCCATCAAGAAGAAGGCTGTCATTTGCTCGCGTTTTTGTGCGTAAGTGATTATTCCTGTGTTTTGGTCTCCTTGCTGTTTTTTTTTGGATTAAACTTAGGGAATCTTAATGAAACACTTCAGTACTGTTCACTTTTAACGTTAAGACATTTTTATCTTGAAAAAGTCACTCCTGATACTATTCACTTATACCTCTATTTTGTCATTTTAATTAAAACTAAAGTTTTTGAGGACTTTTCGTTAATTTTCCATTAAACTTAACGCAAATGGTTTGTTTATAGAGTATCCTGATCTTGTTGCTTGTGGCGGAGTTTTCATGGATTATCATGGTCAATTTCTTAATGGTTTCTACCAATGGAATGGTCATCGCAAATCTTCTTTTGCAAAATACCAACAATAATTATTGGTATAGAGTTAACATATTAGCAGGGTTAGAATTGTCTTTGACTAGAAAGTGATGTTGTTTTTGCTCTCCAATGGTCTATTTGTTTGGGCCGTATTTAAAATATGACTTTCTACGACTTGCACATATATTGCGAAGGAAATATTTTTGTGGACAATTTTGCTAACATGGGCATGTCTTCTCCAACTTTGGTATAGCATGATTCCCTTCCGCTAGTAGCTCGTTCTGCTTTGATTTCGGACTATGCAGGCTTGCCTAGCTTTCACTTCTCAAATTAATGTGCACTCCAGCATACAAGTTTGTCTCACTTTCTTGTTTTTTTTCCTAACCTTGTGATGTTGTTCGACTTGTTTTGCAAGTTTAGACCTTTTAGGTTTGGCTTTAGAGGAGTTAAGGAGTAAAATTTTTGTCTCCCTTCTTTTTCATGTACTTTTATCATTTTTTTTCCTTGTATTATGAGCTATAAATTTTATGCCCCTGACTAAGTGTAACGTTTATTTTCATTATCATTAAAAATAATTTCGTACCGCCAATGTTCTTTGAAAAAAAAAAAAAAAAAAAAAGGAGCCATTAAGAAGAAGATTGTCACTACAAATTCAAGAGCAAGAATCGCACTGGAAGATTAATGAGGAAGCTGCATAAGGACAGGTTGTTATGGACTTAGTAGCTTGTAAAACTTGCATCCCCTTGTGATATTGCTTCTAGCATTCATAGTCGATTTTTCATTGGCCATAGAGTACCCCCAGTTTTTACCAATTGGTTTCTGGGTCAAGAAAAACATCTTTGTGTTTGCTGATGGTTTGTTAATGGTTATAATATCATGATACTTGAAGTGCACTCACATAGCATGTTGCTAGAACCACTCCAAGTCCTAGAACGACTGATTGGCTTGAGTTCCTAGGTTGTCATATGCAGGGAACATTTTGAACTTGTTTGCAATTTGTGTTATAGCATTTTTGTGATCAAGGTGTTTATCATAGAGGGTATTTTTAAGTATACCTCTTCACCCCTCATTTAGGTAATTAGACTACTAAACAACGAAATTTCACGTTTAAAATTACAAAAACTTCTTGAGCGTAATATTCACGTCATCACAATGTTCTAATTTAAGATACGGTGTATGATATGACTGATTTTTTATAACTTAGAGTTTAACATAGATAAAAATGTGTTTATGTGGATACGTAACAATAGCATGCTAAATAATAACCGCTAGAATACTAAAATAATAAAATAGTTAATTTTTGTCAGTTATAACCACCATCATTAACTTAAAAACCGCCAAAATATATAAAAAATATTTGGTAAAAAATATTCACAAATACTGGCGGTTAAAAAAAATTTGTGGCGGTTTAAACTGACACTAATTATCCACCAGACAGTAATTAAGTTTTATCCGACACTAATTAAAAAATGTGTTGGATTACTTTTATCCAACATAATGACTTATTAACCGCCACCATCATCCAACACTTAAAACTAATTTTGTAGTAGTGGCACTATGTAGCAATTTGACCGTCACACCTTTGTAATCACGTAAATGAAGATTCAGCAATGTACATATTTTCCATTTCGTTCTATTAGAGCATCCAAATGGATCTCATGAAAAATAATGAAAGAGAAGAGCTGAACTCTTTTTCCCACTTCCCAATCAATTAGTAATATCCTTTAGAACAGACCTAGGACATACAAAATTACAAATATCCTAAACTGCTACACATCGGCCACCAGCAAATATACATTAAGATATCTAGAGATATTAGTTAATTACTGATTAAACCTAGTTAAATCAAGTACTTACGCTGATCCACACACCTGAAAGACTTGTTTACTGCATGTTGATAAAAACTCGAACAAAAAACTAACAGTAGAAAACAAGAGTCTAGCTAAAATTGATCACTGCTGCTCGATCGGGTTATAAAATAATAGGATGTCTTTAGATTCAAAACCTAGTTGGGCACATGGGAAGAGAGTGGGCAAAACATCAATATCCACCCCAACAGGAGTGGTCAGACGATGCATGGATATTCTAATACTAGAACACATGTTACGTGACAAAATATATATAGTAAAAATAATGGAAACTGCCTGACGGTTCCTTTTTTTCTTGCAAATCATAAATCACAGTCTAATACGTATATAAAAATAACATACTAAAATTACAAAGTAGAAAATTTATGCACATACGTATCGAAGTATGATTTTTTACATGCTAGAAGTCATGCTTTTTACTTACTAATCATAATATGATATGTATATAAAAATAATTTATACACGCATATGAAACTGTGATGTCTTTTAATAACAAATAACTCTTTACACATAATTTTGGTACAAATAAACACTAGGCAGAGATATAGATCCACAGACAGAGGTGAGATGGAGACTTCGTGACGCCACTGCTGGAAAGATGCTCCCTCCACTAGTTACTAATTTAATCAGTGCACATTTAAGGGTGAGAATAATAATAGTAAATATAGATATTGAGAAAGTGAAAGGAAAAAAAACTAAAGTAAACGAAAGCAAGTGGTTACAAGTAAGACTCAGAGAACTGTACCGTCTTTTTGCAGTTAAGTTTGAGTCTCTGACTCTGTAGATTAAAGTAAATGG